AAATACTTACACATACATTAGTTATGCATTTTTTTCTTACCATATTTACAATTCCGATGTCTAACATCGTTTTTTTTTCATTCATTATTTTTTTTCTTATGCATCAAATTTATTTATTACACCCTTTATATTTGTTCTTACAGACGTTTAACTTTATATTTTGACTGGGTGTATGAGAAAATATCCGAAGAAAAAAATTTTCATTTTCCTATTAATTATTTGAATATTAGGGATATGCTGCTTGAATTGGATTAGCGATTTTCAAAATTCATTTCGTCATCTTCATAATCACTCACTTGGAGGTTTGAGGTGCAAGAACTTGCTTCCCTTGCCAACTCTTCCCAATCCAATTTGCATACATACCAAATCATTGTGGGCGATTCCAACATGAGACCAATTGTCAGACCCCCAACAATTCCAGTGAGGCCGCAGCCAAACAAATATGCGAGTGCAAGTTCCAAAGGTAATCCAATGACCCACAAACAAGTAATTAAAATTTGTGCACCCTTTTTGTTCTGTCCCATGCCGCTGAAGACACCTTGAAAAACGTATTGAGCACTGTCAGCAATACACATAAAAGGAACCAACCAACGAATTGTACGGGCCGTTACCAGTGAATCTCCTTCCACTCCAAACAATCCAAGAATATTATCAAATAAAACAAATACAATGATTCCATTCAAAGAAGCCATGAGGACAGCAAGGGAAACAGCAACGACAACATATCTTCGTGCACATTGTGGAAGATTTGCACCAAGACTTGAGCCAACTTTAGCACATGCCGCTGTGCTCAAACCCCCAGCAATTGAAACAAACATCAAAAGTGTATTAAGAATAGCAGAAAATGCTGCACCCTCATAAGTACCCAATGCAGCTGATAATAATACCGCAACGTCAAATGATGATGCCTCTGCAGCAACAAAGAGAGAACTGGGAAGTGCCAATTGAAGATATTCCTTAAGTCCATCCCAATCTAATGCTTCCTTTAGACGAAGTGTTCCCAATGTTTTGCGAGTGGATTTAACAAAAAATGTCAAAGATACGATCACCAGTAGTTGTATCCAAGCGGTTATAGCCATTCCAAGCATAGCGCCGTGAACACCTTCTTTTATAAGAACATATTGACACACAGGGGTTACAGCAATACCCACACCAAGAGCAATCATTGGTAACTGTGGTTTGAGCTGATTCAGACAAAATTTCGAGAACGCCGTAAACATTACCAAGGGAATAATAAATAAAATCGCAGATTTCATAAAGTCACACGCAATCATCGCAATTTTTTCACCATAAATTTTTGGAAGGAATTCCTGAATTATACATAGAATCATGTTAACAGGTAACAAAAATGCGATACTAACAAGTACTCCTCGTTGAAGTATAACCCCTTGTTCATCACTTTCTGCATCTCTACCATAAGCCTGTGAACAAAATGCGTCCATAGCAAAAGTCAGTCCACAAAGCGGGTATTGTGCAACGATTGAAATAATAAAGTATCCCACAGAAGCACCGGTAAGCGCTTCATCTCCGATCATAGATCCTATCAAGGCCAAGGGTATAACGGCCAAACCAAAAGTTAGGGCCATGCTCAACACAGATGGCAAAGCCAATGGAACTAAAGTAAAGGCGATTTGCGCCCAACTCATATTATCTTTATCCACTTTAACATCACCAAGATATATAACTGTATCATTTGATTTATTTTCTCCATTTGGTGGTACCAACTCAAGAGTTGTTTTTTTATTGAGACTTCTTGAGTTCTGGCAAATAGGTTCCACATTATTTTCTGGAGAAACAGTCGCAACAGTATCAGATTTATTAGTGGTTAACTCCACGGTTTTTAAGCCGTTTTCACCCATGTTTCCATCACAGTAAAACTTTCACGCAAAACCTTGGCTTTTAAGAGGAATAAAATAAAAAAAAAAAGAAAAAAAAAACCACATCAATGGGAAGCAAAAAAAAAAAAAAAAAAAAAAAACAGACGACAGCATCAGTATTAGGTAGCAGAAAAAAAAATGCAACAAAAAAAAAGACGTTAAAAGAACATGCAGTATTAAATGAATCTTAAATGAAAAGCAGAGGGCTTTCCTTCCCTAATAAAGAAACCATAGCTAAAATGCAACTTCTTAGAACCAGCGTAATATAAATTAAGCAAAAATAATAATAATAATAATAATAATAATAATAATAATAATAATAATAATAATAATAATAATAATAAAATGGGATATCACTAGCAAATAATAGAAAAAAGAAAAACAAAAACACTAAAATCAAAAACAAAAGAAAATCTAATCTAATCGTGACATCCCGTTTTATCTTCTCTTTTTTTTTCCGCTTTCTTTCTCTTAAATATTCCTACCCAAATCTTAAGAAATTTCTCATTAAAAATACATTGCTCGTAAATAACGAGTGCGGGAGTCCGAGAACAAATTCCACTCCAAAAACCTCATACTTAACACTGCATTTATGCTCAAGATGCCATATTATTTTTTTTTTGTAAATGGGTTGGCAAATGCGTCCAGTATACATTCTCTTTGGAATACTGTTATTCATGTAGTTTTTTTTTTTCGATATAACTTACTAGATTTCAGGGTAAAGGGCCACAAAGCTGTACATCCCTTGCTTTACAGAGGAAAAAAACAAAGTTTTGATCTTGATCAAGCACGCACAAACGTTCTTGTAATTAATAAAAAAACAAACATTATGGGAATCTAAACCACATCCACACCCAAAACCGCAATTTACAGATACACAGTTCCCACATTCACTCTATTATAACCCTTCTTCATAAAGTATTAAAAAAAAAAAAAAAAAAAAAAACGCGAAAGCTCTACCGAGTTCCACAAAAAAAATATTTTCTCTGACAAGAGAACACAAACGAAGAGAAACCTATATTTAGAATGACGATAATAAGGAGGGAAATTTCTCACATGAGTACAAATGAATAAAAAGGTCACATCGTACAAGAACTGACCTCGCACACCCTGGGCAAATTAAAAGGAAAATCGTAGCTTAATTTGAATGAACCAATTAATTAAAATAGGACCCAACAAAAACAGCAAGAAAAAAAAAAAAACACTGAATATCCCGCACCTTCCTTTCACCTTGCAGGTAAAAGAGAAAAAAGTATAAATACATTTATTGTGGTTTTCAGATTTACCATCCCTCTCAATTTCATTAAAATTCACCACTTTAGGAATCCAAGTTGACTGCCCACCACTAGAAAGGTTTGGTTCCTAACAAAAAGGAGGGCACTGCAACCACATTTAATGCGCACCTCCTCCCCTCCCTATCAAATGTGGGAAAAAGGGAGCATGGCCCGCGCGAACTATCTAAACCAGAAATTGAGAGAAACACCACGGCAAAAAATATAGGGAAAATAATATTTTGTGACCCAACATAAAACCAGCAAATGGAGCACTTCCCTTTCGAAATATCCACCCGGTAAAAAATAAAAAAAAAGAACACGGACCGCGGATCGATGTCATGCCACCGAAAAAAAAAGGAAGAGCAACCCGACCCGCCCACCGCAACGCACGACCAGACCAGGCAACGAACAGAAAAACGAAGGAACGAGAGCGTCTCCGGAACCACCCCCGCATCCCCGGTTTTTTTTTTTCTTCCTCAGCCGCCCGACCGTCGGCCAGGGCGACGCGCCGCCCGCTTTCCTGATGGCGCGGACGGTCCTGCACGGAAAATTTTGGGAGCACCCCGCCGGGTTTCCCCCCGCCACAGAACCCCGGGCCCCCAGCCCCGGGGGAGCGAGAACCTTCGTTGCACCGCCGGCGCCGCCAGCCAAGACCACGATTGCATGACAGGAGCCTCCGGGGCGGGGGCATTCGATGGCGCGGGCGGCTCGGTAAAGGCGCCAAACGGTTGGGGAGGCCGCTTGTTGTTACCAAGGGCCGCGTTTCAAGAGCATATCCATGATGAAACTGCTGCTGGTCATGCGTTTCTCGGGGGTTTAAGGGGTAATTGGCGGTGGCGCTGCGGTTTGTGGGCTGGAATAGTTGGAGGAGAGTTTTGATGGAAGGATGGTTCCGCTCCGAGCCACGGGCGAAACATGATCTTTCAAAGGCGGGCGTTGGCTGAGGTGCCGCTCGGCCATTATCGCGAAACAGGTTTCCACTCACAGCAACAAAAAGTAGAAACAAGAAAACCCCAGACTTTCCAATTGCAAGCTGGAGGAAGTTCTTGTTTATCCTTCCCAACTGGGGTTGTTCCGGAAGAAAAAAGCTGTGTGAACGGAGGCGTCGTGCCGAAGAAAAATGGGAAGCTGAGACTATGCTGATGGGGTGGTGGAATTTCGGAAATCCAACATTAGCACAACCGTTTAGATCCCCAACTAACCTTACCTGGCCGTACTTTCCATTAAAAACCATGCAACCTGAAGGGGAGAATGGCAACAAGGATGGTTTTGGCGGAAAGCTGCCCCAAAGAGAACGGACGCAAGCCCCTTTCCAGCAATGGGGGCATTTTGTTTAAACCCCATTTTCGCGCCTGCAAGGCAACAAAAACGACAACTAAATGTTGCGTTGGGCCGTTGCGCTTTCTTCTGTCCGGGGCTTGGGGTTCCAGAACGGTGGCGCCGTTCGGGGGCCTGCGGTAGGGCGTTCCATTCTGGCGCCGCGCGCGGTGCGTTTCGAGGCAAGTTTATATAGTTTCACTAGGCATTGCTAGTCTTTCGGCGCCAAATTTTATGGGAGTGCGTGAAAAGAATAATCATCCGGATATGGCCTATGACAGTTCAGGCTTTTGAGGGGTTGTGTGGTCTTCTTCTTTCCTTCGGTTTTGTTGTGATATAAAAGAGCCTCTGGCTGAACGATTGGAAAGGATTTAAGTTTGGTGTTTTCTCTCCGCCACACCCACCCCCTAGGCACTCCACTGGGTGGTGGTTCTGGGGAGGAAGGGGCTTTAGAATATCCCACTTCGTAATTCCTCTCGGGCGATTCTTCCGGTAGAATGGGAAATTTGATATTCAACGCCTTGCCTTTCCGTTTCCTGTCATGGAACGCTCTTGTTGGGATTAATAGGAACTTTATGGAATATGTGTTTGTTCGTTTCTGTTTATGCGTTTGCTTGGTTTTGACAAAAGGAGGAAGCAAATTCATGTCAGATATTGGGGGGCAGCGGGGTTGCATCATTGGCAGGGTGGGGCGGGGGAAAGCAAACGGCTGCCCGCGACAAACCTCATGACAAACTTGATGCCAGCCAACATTCGTCCAAACCTGGCGGATGTTCCTTCTGCTCCCACGTTGTTCTCCTTAAACATGACCAGGTCCTTTTAGTTTGCACTCTGTTTTGATTCGAGCAGGTCCAGAAGGTAGTGAAAAAATTATCATTTATGGTACATCATTTTCGCGCCTTTTTTCCCTCCCAATACAAAAACACCTGTTATCCCCATTCGCGCGGTCCGCTGGCAGCGGTGTATTTGGCATACCTTTGGGTTGCAGTAAAACGAGCGAATAGCAGGGGTTCGTTGTGGCCATTTCCCTGGCAAGACTTCTTTGCAGCGAATCCTCATATTAAATGTTCTTTTCTTCCCCCGTTTGCGGAGAACATTCACCATTTCGGCGGGTGACGATTCGTAGAGAATAGGGTAAATATTGTAAAAATGAGTTTCACTACTTTCTTGGCGACGCGCCATGGTTTTCTGCATTTTACTTCTGGGAATCAATTTTTTCTTATTGCTTCTCTGCTGGGGGTGTTTTGTTTGCGTGTTGGTTGGGGTGGTGTTGATGGTTCTCTTGGGCGGTCAGAAGTTCAAGGGTATCGCGTTGCAGTGCACAATGTGCCGTTTTCCATTGACAACGCTACACCTGGCTGAATTTCTTCAGCTCCTCTCCCAAGGTATGGTGCGATAGTTTTATACCGCCATAAGAAGTTCTGACATAGATTTCCAGTTTTGCTAATGGAATGCAGTATGATGCGCCAAACTTTCCTTAGCAAGAGCTCTTTTGAAGCACCAGGTTTTCCTAGGGAAGAACGCGTGCAGAAGGGGGCGCGTCAGAGTTTTGAAAATCTTGCAAAGCGCTTTTTTGGGTTTGGCGAGTGAAACCAATGCATGCCAAAAATCCGTTGGTAGTTACACCAATGGCGCGAGCCATCAATAGCAATACAATATATATGTATATAAATCTTTTTTTATTTTTCATTGTATTTTATTACCGTTGGGCATGGGGAGTACGCATTGGCAATGGGATTAAAATGGATCTCGTAGGTAGCAGAGCTTGGATTTTTTTCGCTTCTCTGAGTTGTCTCAGCGGCTAACCCAATTTCCACCACTGGAGGGCATAGTTGTTACTATATCTAGGGTCCCTACCTCTCCTTTTTTAGCAGCATTCCCACTAAGGTGAAATATATCAAAGAAACTGCTGCTGATGGGCACACTGACAAACGCGCCCCAGGATCTTCTTGGATAAAGTTTTGTCCCAGCACGACTCTGCTGGCCCCGGTGCTGCTTGACATTTGTAGCTTATGAACCCGTAAACTCTATAGAAAGAGTTTGCTATCCCATGGCTTCCCCCGAAAAGATTACGAGGTAATTGACCTTGGCTCCGCCTTTCGATGGCCAAACGCCACCAAGAAAACAGCATTCCCAAGATCGCATGTATTAAAAAGAAAAATAAAAAGAATTTGGTTTTTTAGTGGGCCGCCCCCTGCAAAAATTCAGTGAGTTCTTTTAGGAGACCACCTCCTTCATAAATTTAGTGAGTGCTTTTACTTTCCTTGAATAAATTCATGTACTTAACCTTGATACCGTGATAAGGTAGCACATCCTTACCAAGGTTTCCCCCTGGTAACGTGGGAAATTTTTTACCGTACGCTGAAGTGGCGGCGTTGATTATATGCACGCTACTGTTGGAATATTTCCAGACCCCTTTAACCAAATTTGCACTTTCACCACATCACCCATCGCAACTCTAAAAGCATGGCCCCTTCGACACGCCAGCGCCTTCGGCGGAGGCAACTATTATCTATGTGGCTCTGTGCTTCCAGATTTCCCCACCCCACCCACAACTTAGAAACCCAAGGTGGCTCTGGAGATCTGCTGCTTTGACCTCGCCGGGTGGGGAAATGGAAATGATTGGCCAAACATTTAGGGGAACATGCGCGTGTGCCCCTTCGGGCTTTCGGCGAATCAAATAGGGACACATAGTGTTGAAAAGCGGTCGGTGCTGCTTTTGGTTTATCTTTCCTTCGATAAAAAGGTTTCCAAAGATGACGTGAAAGCAAAAGGCTTCGGCGTCACCTCTTTTTAGGAAGATGATGCTTGCAAGAAAGGATGGGCCATTAAGCAGGCAGCGGTGTGTTTCCCCTGAAGACCATTTGTAGAAGAAAAAATGCTTCCCTGGATCCGAAACGAAAGTAGAAGGCATTGTTGCCTTCCAAGAGGTGGTAAGAGCAGCATGATCCGAAACCCTTGACAGTGACGCGCCTTAGTTTTCGAAGATAGAGCGCGTCTTTCCGCCAACGTTTACCTTTGTCAACTCTTCTTTTGACCCACCAGCTCCCACACTTCTTCACGCAATTTAAAGCGAGGCACGTTGCGCCAAGGATCGGGTTCTCTATGGGCAGAGTGGAACTTGAAGGCCGCAACCCCTATTGCGGGGGCACATGTTTTCGCAAGAGAAAGAGTTTGCGCATCAGCAGAGTTATGGCGAAACGGGTCCGCGTGCACTTCTCTAATGTCTGCCGCCTGTCAAATAGCGCGGAAAAGAAACGCAGTTGAATTGAGAATTGCCACGCTGCAAGGAATGGTTTTTGTAAGCTATTTGGTGCTTCAAACGCTCCGGCATCCTCCGGAAAGAAGACTGCAGAGCAGCATTCGCTTTTTCAACTGTCCCAACGGAAATGTTAGCTTTAACGGTTGCTTTAGTTTATAAAATGCCGGGCGGCGTTCAGTTAGTTCCTATCAAAAATTCAACTCGCTCACATTGAAATGGGCGTATTGATAATCATTTCTTTATTTTTTTGCGCATGTGTTAAGCAACAATGCTTTGTTTAATTGTTGCTGGTTGCTTATTTGGTGGGCCGGCCTGGGGCGGGAACGCCTTGCCATCGGCACCCACTCGGGCGAAGCGAGAGGCAATGGGAAAATCGAAGGAACAGGGCCCCAACTCAACCCTTACAACTGCCTGCGCTTCATTGAATCATTTTACGCACTGTTAGACGCTGGATTTATCAGTTGGCACTCCCTAATGCCTTCGCTGGGTTTTTCCTTGTGGTCGGCGGGGCTCGGGCCCTTCGCCGAAGACCCTAGGGGAGCCAGGCCGAACAAAACGAGACGCGTTACCGCACCACCGCCGGGAGCAGCAGAAAGTCGATTGGGCATCCTCGTTGGCGTTACCCCTGCGGCATTTTAACGCCGAATAAGTGACGTTATAGGGGTATAAAAAGATTCTCTTATTCTAGCCACCTTTTATGGTCATCCTTTTTGTGGCATACGGAGTCCGCGCGCCCAAAGCCTCCGAAGGAGACCCCATGCAGAGGGGGAAATGTAAGAGAAGAGGGACGCCCGAATTTCTGAAGTCGTGTCTTTCTTTAGCAATTTTGATGAACAGTGGCGACCTGTTCCCTTTCTTGGCAGTTTGCCGTGCTGGAAGAACTGTGTTGGTCCGCCTTCCCCGGCCCATTCGGTCTGCGCGGGCTTTGTCCGTGAGGCGTTCCGCTGGCATTTTTTATTTGCGCCTTCAAATGGCTTATTGAACTATAATTTTTGGATTTTTATGCCCATTTTTTGGCAGGTGGGTGCGGGGCGGGTTGCCTTCTAAGGAACGCCGTGTATTGGGACAAACGGCAACCTTGATGAACATCAAGCCTCAAAGGAGACCCTTTCGTTTGCTCCCGAACTCGGAATCTTGAATCAGTGCTGGGATCATTTTGCTGCACGAGTCAAAGGGATCTTTTTGGCCTAACGATGTTATGCCTGCATTGCCCCGTGCAACTCTTCAGTTTGGCGTCTTTAAGTGGGGGTGGGGGTTCATCTGCCCCAGAGTTTTGGCTGACCCCTCTGGCCAAACGAACGTCGATGAAAGCGATGTGGGAACACCTCAGCAAATAACGGTAAATCTGTTTATGCGGCTCTTCCTGGCAAAATTGAAAGTCTAAGTCTTTGGCAAAAGGCGTCCGTACTGTGCCAGGAACAATCTTTGGGTAAGCAAAGAAGGTGCCTTCAGTTCGCTCTTAACTAAAAAAAGAAAAACAAAAACGGTTGGATTCGCATCATGAAATCAATTCCTAGTAGTCTACCTTTTGGCTTGGGCCCGTCCTGCTAAATTAAACTAAAATTCGTGCAAAAAATAAAAAGAAAAAGTGTGATTAGCTGAGTCGACTCGATTTCTGGCAGTTTGGCGAAGGGGAAACCTCCGGCTATTGAACAACGTGTGCCGTTAGATATTACGATGGTGGCTTTTTGCCTCAGCAGGATTTAGTATATTCTGATTCTGCATAACGCTTCCGATGAAGCGTGTCGTTGTTTTTGAGTAAAATAACGTAGCCCCACACACTTTGCTTTTGTATTGCTAAAAGATGCCGCCACTGGCGCCATGGCGAAGGAACGAGTGGCAAAAAAAAAAAAAAAAACATCCATACGGTAGGATTCTTCTGTCTGTTGTCAAAAAAATTTTTTTCATCCACTGGGCAAAGAATGCGGTTTATCAATGAGGGGCTCGTTCCCTGTACTTCTGTAGTTTTTTTTCGCTGCTCTAGCAAACAAAAAAAAAAAAAAAAAAAAAAAAAAACGGTTTGCTTGGGTGGGGCTCCTTTTCGCTGCTTGCTTGGAAGGAGGTGGTTGCGTCGCCGCTTTTTCTTTCGCGCGGGGCGGGGGGCCACCGGCCAGCGAAGGGCGGAGCCACAGGCCGCAGAAGGCAGGAATGGCGAAAGAAACGGCGGGAGGGGCGAGGAAAAGCCGAACGATTCATCGGCGCGCGCGCGGTTTGCGTTATTGCTCTTGTTAGCGCGGCGCGTTGGGCAGAATGCGGGGGAAAAACATGGAAATTTGATCCCCGATGGGCGGTCCCCTCGCGGGCTCCTTTGGGCGTTGCGCCTAGGCGTGCGTGGGGGTTGCGTGTTGGTCTTTTTTTTTTTTTTTGCGCCCGTTAAAACCTTTCCCTTTTGTGATCTTCGCCGCCTCGTCCTTCTGCTGCGGCCGCCCCCCGCTTTGGTTGGCAAACGGCCTTCTAGAGCGCCCGAATTTGGGGCCATTGTTTTCCATCAGGGTTGGGGTTCGTGACGCTCGGGCTCGCGCGTTCGCGTTTTCTTGTTTTTGCGTTTTTGTTTTGCTATCCCTACAATTTTTCGCCGCTTTCTGCCTTCCTGGGCCGGGTTGGGGGAATGGTGTCGCCCCAGCGCCCCCACCCACACCCACACACAGAGGAAGACAGGGGCGGCGCGCAGGCCCAAGAAAAGGTTTCAGAAAGCGCGCGGGGTCCTTTTTAAATATGGGAAACTCGTTTTTGCACCTTTTTCTTCCCCGGGCGCCGCGGTATCGGCGGGCCCCGTTTGAAGTATGAAAACTATTATTTTTTTTTTCTTGTTGGCTTGCGAAAAGGGTGGTCGAGTCTTACTGTCTTTTTGGTTAACAAATTTTGTATTGGGGGTTTTAACACTTAGGAAAATGAGTTTCTTTTCAATTTTGCAGTCTGTCATTCGTAAGGTTCTGAAAAAATCAACTGTACAAGCAAGGAAAGTGTCAAGTACGAACCACCTGCCTTACTTAACGGCACAGCGGCAGACCAGCACGCAGGCGTTCGCAGACCCTGTGCGCCATAATGGCCCTACGGCTTTTGTATTTGAATTTCGTCTAGAGGAAACTCTTCGTTCAAGTTATCAAATGGATGATTTCTTCAGATTCGAAAACGACATACTTATGGTAAAAATGGAGCCAAGTACATCCATGAATTGCGAGGCTTTGCAAACCACCTCAAGATGCTTTTAAGGAAGAACTCGCGCGCTTCAGTTTCGAATGGGTGGCATTGGAAAAAAAGAATCACCATTATACCACCAATATAAATGTCCACAAGCGCAATAGGAAGAGAAAAACTTTAAAGCACAGCCAAACGCAAACGTGCAGGTCCAGGAAATGCAAAGACAAATGCCACAGATTCACCAGGAAACCACCGAGGAAAAACATAAATAGGAAAAAAGCAAGCGCGACACGGGAGAAGCATTACAACAACACTCTTAAAAAGTGAATTGGGCGGAGGAATTATTACAACAAAAAAGGCAGGAGCGTCCCAATACAGCTAGAGCAGAAGACAAATGTCGGAATAACTATAACAGACACAACAAAAAGAATCCATACTTTTGAAGGAATGATAGGTAATTTGATGAAGACATCACCAAGCCAATTGCTGAGCGACCGCATACCGGGAAAAGTTTTTCCTATGCCAGCAAATCCTGGACCAGCTTATAACGACTCATGGAATAATTTTCTGCAATGGAGACACATTATTTGCAATAAAGGGATGGCAGCACAACAGGATCAAATGGGATGATACCTTTACAAGTAGATACGGATAATACGAACAGTTAAGGATTTCTCCGGAGTGAAGATGCAGGGCATTCGGGAGGCTATCATTAAGCCTCAAAAAACAGGATGATTCTTTCATACATACCGCCGTGAAGTGGCAGAAGAAACATTCAACACCACCACCACGACGCAGCAAGGTACGCTGTTTCAGTTGTGGTCGTATTGGGCATTATAACTCTACGTGCCGCGCTGGGTTAGAGAAAGAACCTTACAAACCAAAAAGAAACGAAATTCGACCCACAGTGGCTAACACAGCTGAGGAATGCGCGGATCCCTTAAAACCTCAACGGGCCACGGTATGATATTTGGGCCATTGGATCACAACACTCAACAAACCAGCCCGCCTTACATCATTGATGTGGGATATTTGGAAAAACGGACCTTACCAGAATCTGTAAAACAAGATTCTTGCGCCACTTTTAAAGGTCATAGTATACTACAGAAATCGAATCGAACTCCAGTGGCAACGAAAGAAGAAGAACTATTACCGTTGCAACAAATAGATGTAGGAATGCTGTCCACCAAATGGATTAGAAAACGCCTGAATAATAGTGCCAGGAGGCGTTGGGACGAGGTGTGGAATATTATGCAAACATACGGAACACATTTAATGCACCGAAAAACCAATCTACGAATTAACAACGCCAAGGCGCAGCGGATGAAGGAATCAGAAATTATTTGTACAGCTTCATCGCACCCAAGCGCAGGGCGGGTAGTACCGTTTACGGTGGAGGAGGAAAAACTGCCAGGGAAGAGAAGATTGTTTATTGCGTGGCTAAAGAAAAGAAGGCCCAGAATGATTATGAGGCTGATGTTCCTTTAGGAAACATTTCCCGGTATGTGCACTTCGTTTACGACGAAACCGCAACGTTATTTGATTTAAAGGCATCGTTTTTCCAGGCGACTCTACCAGTTAACATGCGCGCAAGTTTCCTTTGCCGCACAGAATCCGGAGAACTTTGTCGAGTTGAGCCGCCTTCCCTAGAGTTATAAATGTAGCCCAGAGATTTTAAATACCATTACGAGAGTTCTGGCTGGTGATCCTTTATTGGCATTGCCAAAGTATGCGGCACCCAAGGGATAAAAAATACAGGTTTGAATTGATAACATCAGAATAAGTAGTCCACACGAAAAGGTGGAGGCTTGGGGAGAGCAAATCATGCATAACATTGGAAAGCTGCGGGGCCACTATTGAGGAACAAGAGTTAAAAACAAAGGAATATGATTTCATCGGAGTATATTTCAATCACAAGGACAACACGGTTTCTTTAATCGGCAAAACAATAAAGAAGTTATAGCAGGCACCGCCATTAGAGATGACAGTCGAACAATTAGAGAGTACAGTTTCGCGGGCGATTTATGCAGGAGGGGTAAGGGGTGAATCCCTTTTCCCTTATTGTTTTTTCTTCAAAATGGTACGTTGACGTTTGTCACGTTTAAATCGAGGTTTAATACAGCCACAAGACAAGGCAAATTTATCGGCTAATGCTAAGGACATCGGGCAAAGTTGGCGCAACAGATTATTAATGAACGAACCGGTTCACCCACAGCGGCGGTTGCCAACCACCGCAACTTTGGTGACAGACGCCTCCATGTAAGGACGGGGGGCTTTACCATTCAAGGGTTCGGGAGAAGTTTTGAGTGCAGGCGGTGCGTGGGAGTGCCCACCTCAGATGATATCTTAAGCGGGGGTACTTGCCGTTCATCTGGTATCACGCGGGTTTAAAACGCATTTGGCGGATCCGTAGGGTATTAGCATGGGCGGTGAAACGGTTATGAATATTATGCAAAAAAGGAAATGCACATTCACAGGCGTTAGTGAAGGAAGCCAACGCCAAAGATGCAGAGTTTTGCGCTTGCACGTGCTGCGGGCTTCTCAGAGCCACGCCGCCCCGGGAGGCAATAACGCCGAAGGCGCGCCCAGATGGCGATCCCTCAAAAAAATCGGGGGCCACGGGGTGGGTGGGGGGCGGGTGGAACTAGCGATAGTAGTGGGGCGGGGGGTCGCATAAAAGGCCTCGTCTGCAACTCCATTTCGCCAGTTCCGCGCTTTGTTAGGGAACGGCCGTTGGGGGGAAAGAAAGGGCGCGTTTCTGTGTTTTTGTAACGTGGGTGGGGGTTTGGTGGGAAGCGGAAAAAATCGAGGCCACCCCCTTTCCATTTAGCCCTCCCAGGGAAAACGTGTGGTTTTGGCCCTTCTTTCCGCAAATGCGGTTCGAGCGCCGCGCTTTCTTTTTATTCGCCCGCCCCCCTTTTCCAAGCGTTTTTCCGGGCGACGGAAACGGAAAAAAAAAAGAACGGAAAAAGAGGCGGCCGCCGGGGGTCCCTGTAGGCCCGCCGCTGGCGGTACGTGGCGCGCCGGTCCATTTTGGGACGTCGGCGCGGAAGGGGGTCGGTTCCGCGTGCGGGTCCGCGGGTTCCATGCTCTCCCTGGGGCTGTCGCTTGCCTTCCCGCGCGCCGGCGCGCTTGGGCGGGGTTGCCGAAATAACCGAACAAAACGGAAAACAACTACAAAAAAAAAATATTTGGCGCCTGGCGCGCGGCCTCGTCCAGTTCCGTGGTGGCGGTGAGTAGGGTCGTTCGGTGGTGGAAAATCATCTGGGGGCTGCGGCGCGCGCGGGTTTAGGTCTTTTAACACCTTGTTTGGCATTTTGGCGCGTTTTCCCAAGAACATGTGGGACAGGATTTTTAAATTTCTTTCTTTTTAATTTCTTCTGTTCACTGGCGGCTCATTTTCCTCGTAATGGATCTGTGTTACGGTGTTCTTTTTTTTATTTTCATTTGTGGCTACTTCCTTTTGACTGGCATTGCTTATGTCTTTTCCTGGTTTTATCAGGATGTTCAATAGATTTCTTCGATCTTAGTACACGGTTTCATTATCCATTATTTTTCATATTATTTCCAAATCGCAAATAATCAGGTTTGTGATGCAGTACGTTTTTTTTTTCTTTTTATGCTGGTGGGGAATTTAAACAAACAGGTAAATTATGCGATGCCAGCAGAAATTACTTGGGAAATTTTAATAAATCAAAAAAAAATTATGGAATTTCCACGAGAACTTTTAAACTATACTAATATATCCGAATACATAAGGATTAAAAAAAAAAAAAAAAAAAAAAAACACTTCATACCGAAAAAATATAATATAAAAGAGTTTATAAAAATAAAATATCTCTATCTGTTTCGTTCACATAATGAAAAAAAAATTCGCAAAAAGCCACAAAGCCAGCTATTTTTCTCTATTTTCTAGGGTTTTGCCCTCCAAGAACAATCCTAGGATAAGGGACAGTTATACCATTTGCCACACGATATAGAAGACTCTTCTTTTTCTTGCTTTCTTTAGTGTTGGAAATATGTTTCTAGTGTCTTTCTCTTCGTGTCGTAGGACAAGGGTTTGTTGGTCTAATTTTGACCGGATTTTTCTTTCTTGGTGTTTTGGGGTGTGGTGAGAAAAATGTTTTTTTTTTTTTTTGTATTATTACATTTTGCTGCCCTGGTTTTTCTCGTATGTGTATTTTTCATATATCTAAACCTGAATGTGAAGGAAGGATGGGATATTTCTTTTTTCTTTTTTTTCCTTTGCTGTATTTATTGGCATTTAGGTCAAAGGACAAGGCAACTCGGAGGTTCGTATTCTAAATTTTTATATTCTAACAAGATTCCCAAGGCACACGCATAATGTCAGGATCAGTGGATAAGAAGACCGGCTGTAGGGTAACGTATATTTGGCTTTCTGGAAGGGATCCCCATCATGATATCCGAAGCAAAGACCGGACGATGTATTTAACAGATGAGGAACTGAAGAAACACCCCAAGGATCTTCTTGCTGAAGGGTTTTTTCCCTTGTGGAATTTTGATGGCTCGTCGACAAACCAAGCCCACGGCGCCGATACAGAAATCATTCTGAAGCCCGTTAATGCATACCATTGCTGTCTTCCGCGACCCACGACGACTGTGCCACGGATTCTTGTGCTGGCTGAGTGTCATCTCCCATCTGGAGAACCAACAAGAGATAACTCGCGTGCCATGGCTCGCCTTATATTTGAGCAGAAACCAAATGAACATCCTTGGTTTGGAATGGAGCAGGAATTTTTCTTAATGAAGGATGGGCGACCTTATGGATGGCCGGCGACTGGTTTTCCAGCCCCACAAGGTCCTTATTACTGTGCGACGGGGTTCCCGTTTGCTCCTGGGAGAAAATACATTGACTTGCACTATGAGATTTGTCTGCAGATGGGGCTCAATGTCTCTGGCACGAACGCCGAGGTTGCGCCTGGTCAGTGGGAGTTTCAGGTGGGTCCTTGTGAAGGTCTGGAGATGGGTGATCAGTTGACTGTGGCACGCTGGGTGTTGCTGAGGATTCTGGAGGACGAGGGATTGGACGTGGAGTACCGCGCAAAACCAATTCAAGGTGATTGGAACGGCAGTGGGCTTCATACCAATTTCTCTACACAGGCAACGCGCTCTGAGAACGGATTGGACGTTATTTACAATTATGTAGAGCGTTTGAAGCAAACGGTTCGGAAGGATATTATTTTTTACGGATCCGGAAACAATGAGCGTTTAACCGGAAAACACGAAACCTCAGTACCGAACGTGGTGACTGCCGGAGTTGGCACGAGGAATACGTCTATTCGCATTCCAAATTCTGTTGCAAATGATAGAAAGGGGTATATGGAAGATCGACGACCCGCTGGCGATGCTGATCCTTATCTCGTCTCATCAAGACTCTTTGCCTCCTGTCTTTCTCTTGACACTCCAGCCTTGGATCTGGTCTCACCACTCCACGAAAAAGATTGGATGAAATTTCCTGTGGTGTAGTCATGTGGAATAAACGAGACGAAAACAGTTTGTTGAGTGCCCGGAAAGGACGAGCCGTTTTACTAATATTATAATTATAGTGGTAGACATAATTACTTGTGATTCCACAAAAAAGAAAGACTTTCTTTATTTAGAGCTTATGTCTGTTGCTTCAATGATTTATTTTCCTTCTGCTCTTCATAAGTGTGATCTTCTTGGGGTAGGTATCTAAAGATACAAAGAACGAGAAAAATAAATGATGAGGTCTCGATTTGTTCCATTGAAAAAATTTGTTAGGAGAAATGATGATGTGTAAGAAATAGATAGTTTTTTTTTTTTTT